GAGCAGCCATGAGCTTGGAATTTTCCAACAATTCTTACCACATCCACAATTCCATAGCAGAGGACAGAAAGTAATAACTATGGCACATCCATAATGTTTGACACCTCTTCATTACATATAAAAGATTTTCTGACACAGGAAATCCAGCATTTCACAGTTTTGATCGACAGAACCATGTTAATTTACCGATCCTTTGAAAATAAAGTATATAGATTCTTGGGTAGCTAATTTTGTAACTCTCAACTCTTTTGAAAACCTATTCTAGTAATATCTTACTGCTTGACTACTAAACAGAAAGCATATTTCTGTTTTCAACTTCTTTTACATAATTTTGCTCTTTCTTTCACCCATTGTTTCACATAATGTAATATACGTATCAGCAAGACTAAATCTTGGCTATCCTAGTAGTAGACCATTGGTAAACCAGTGGTGGGCCATGTGGTCCACTCCTAGTTTTGATCATAAAAAAATTGAACAAGTTATATAAGAACATTTATTATAACATAAACTAAATATAAAAATGTTAGAATTAATAAATAATATAAATTTCAACTTGTTTGAGTAGTGGGCACGGCAGTCGGCTCCTCAAAATTAATGAACTATATACATTTGATACCTTTTAATCACAATATAAAACATTAAGAATAGAACTAAATGAAAAACGACACTTTAGCACATAAGTTTCCTATACTTTAAAAGAAATAAAATATCAAATGAAGATGTCTGTAAAAATAGGAATGTAGGGAAGTTAGAATAAGCCAAAAATTTCCCTTTGACCACTTCAGAAAAAGAAACTTCCAGCTATAAACTAAGAAGCTACTGACATTGCATTTTCATAAAATAATATGTAATTAATGAAATAAATAATAGCCTAATTAGGTGTTACTCTATTATCCTAAAAGTATGACCTTGAAATTTATTAACTCAAATCTGGTGGTCCACTACATGCATTTAACTTTAAGATGATTTTTCTTCGATGCAACAAAATTCATAGGAATGGGTATTGAATTACTTTCTTATGTAGTTATCTATATAGCCATACTAATGACAGAATATGTGAGAGTTTCCAAACTAATTCAGAAAACTAAAATAAATCATCATCACTAAGGTGGTTTAGAAGTGCCAATTTTCATATTGTTGGACCCAATCTGAATACCAGAAGAGGCATGGGTGTTAGTAATGGTATGATAGCACTTAGTACATATGATAGCACTTTGTTGTATGGCAGCACTTAGCATGCTAAAGATAAAAGCCTCCTTAAGAGGGTGGTGGTGGTAGGAGGAGAAAGTACGAAGCCCTCAGAACTGTTCCATGGTATGATTTTAAAAGAATAAAGCTGGAAAAACTTGTCACATATAAGGTCCCAAGGCCTTGGCAACAACAGCTGCTGTGCTATTGATTTTGGCCTTCATGAATTAATGGACCTGATCTAGAGAATTAGTAACATACGATATGGAGCCATATTAATGACACAATCTGTAAAGATACTCTAAATTCATTAGAAAAATTAAATATATGTATCTATCTTCAAGCAAGAAAGATTATTTCAATTTGTCTAAGATTTTTATTAAAACTCTTTCAGTTTTGGAGGCATTTAGACACAGGTCCCTCTTCTTCAGAAGCAAAAGAAAATTTAATAAAAATTTTAAATTCAGGATAGATTAGGAATCTTGGTTTTAAAAGAATCTTAGTGTCTTAGAAGTAGATCTTAGTGTCATTTCTCAAAGCCAATGTATGATGTGTGTTATCATACTTGATTATCATATTAAACTTTTATATATGTAATCTACTTTCTCCCCTCTGGTTGTGCTTTTCTATTTTCCACCAAGTTTTTTTTTCTTTTTTTATTGACTGAACACTTTATTTAATAACCATCAGCCTTGTGCAATACAAGGGCTGGAAGTGGTGGTCATTTCATTATGAAGCACCTAATAGGTGGCCACCATTGCCTCCTATGACGAGACAGACAATTACAACCATGCCTTCTGTGGGAATCGAAAATGGGCCCATTGTTACGGTAGTCAGGGTCACAAATTACTATACCAGCAGAGCCACATTTTCACCTATGTATATATTCTTACATATTCTGTAACCTATATCCATATGCCTTAACATAAGGAATGCCCCTCTAAACTTAACATGCTTCCATAAATGAATTTTTATTTTCTAAAAAAATCACAAAATGTACACTTAACATCTTTTGAAACATGATAATTTTCTACAACAGTCAGTCAAACAGGAAAAGGATAAGAAAGTACTGCAAACATATACAATTTTAGGACATTACAACACTATAAAATTACATGTTATAAATTCATAAATTACCACATTTTTTAAGATAATAACAAAGTAGTTAAGTGAATCTATATAAAACTTTTTATACCAAAAGCAAATAAGTATGTCATGTAACAAACTTTAAAAAATACCGGAAATTTATTACTATGAAAAAATTATAGCCAAAGAAAGAATAATTGTAGTCAAAGATAGAAAAAATGGCCAATATGCTAGGCTAAATTTTTTAAATATAGTGCCAATTAATTTTATCTATTAACACAGCGTTACTTGCACCAGGCTTCTGAGGGCCGATCAGTTTGTTAAAGCTATGTAAACCCTATCCCTTAATACTGAAATGGAGCACATCCGGTCTAGCTGAGTGTAAGGTGACCTTTGGCACAAAGGAGGCATTTCTGGAATTTTGTTTTATTCTGTTCGGACAAAAAGCCATTTTTTGGGTTGCTTAGGCCCGGCACGAGTAAACGTGTTTCTAATTTCGAGTTTGAAGTGCACTGAGTTCGTAGCACAACATGGCTCGCAGATTAACATATGATGAAGAAATGGAACGATTACGTAATTTGCTAGATGAAGTATTGACTGATGACGAATCTATCGAAGGTGAAGATTTAATGTCTGATTGCGATGAAGGGTTTAGTGAGCATAATATGTCGTCTGAAGAAATCGAGTCTGATGAAGAGGACGCTATAGATTCTAACTCAGTTTGTGATTGTTTTATTGGAAAAGATGGAAAGACAATTTACAAGAAAACAAAATTTCATCAAAATGTTCGAACTTTATCGCAAAATATTATTTCAAAGTTGCCTGGAAATGTTGGAGTGGCAAAAAACGTAACTTCTCCTCTTGAGTCTTGGAGTTTATTACTGGATGAAAATACCTTGAATACGATCATCCCCTGTACAAATATATATATTGACACTATCAGTGACATCTTTCAGAGAGAACACGATGCTAAAAAAACAAAACTCTCCGAAATCAAAGCTTTTATTGGATTGCTATATTTATGTGGTATACATAAATCATCCCATGTGCATGTGAGAGATTTATGGCACACTGGGGAATGGAAATAGAAATATTTAATAGGACCATGTCATAATCGTTTTTTGTTTCTTATGAGATGCATAAGATTTGACAATGTTAGAAACAGGCAAATGAGAAAAGAAATGGACAAACTTGCCCCAATAAGATATGTATTTGGATCATTCGTGCATAATTGTCAGGAGTTTTACACAGCTGGATCATATGTTACAATTGATGAAAAACTTGAACCATTTAGAGGACGCTGTTCATTTCGACAGTACATGGCAAAAAAGCCAGCTAGGTATGGAATAAAGATTTTCGCTCTTGTTGATGCAAGAACTTTCTTTACATGTAATTTAGAAGTTTATGCAGGTACTCAGCCCCAAGGCCCATATCATGTAAATAATTCACCAGTTGAGGTTGTCAAAAGGTTAACAGAAAAGTTAAATTTTGGGAGAAATGTAACAGTCGACAACTGGTATACTAGTTATGAACTTGCAAAGTATCTCCTTCAGAAAGACATTACTCTAGTGGGCACCATAAGAAAGAACAAGAGGGAAATATCGAAAGAGTTTGTGAACAGTAAAAATTGTAAGGTGCATTCATCCTTGTTTGCATTCCAGAAAGACATGACTTTAGTGTTGTATGTTCCTTAAAAAAAAATGTTAACCTCTTATCTACAATGCATAACAATGATGTGAGGCAAAAAAACCTGAAATAATAACATTTTATAATTTGATGAAAGGAGCTGTTGATGTGGTGGACCAAATGTCAGCAGCATATTCAACTGCAAGAATCAGCAAAAGATGGCCGATGGTTCCGTTCTTTACACTACTAAATACTGCTGCAATCAATGCTCGAGTATTATTCCAATGCTCAAAACATCCATCCTTACAGCACAGGAAGCGGAGTCAGTTTTTGAGAGATCTTGCAACAGATTTGCTGAAAGACTACACAGCGGAGAGCCACTCTACCATGTCTCCCTCGATATGTCCAAGAAAAACTATCTCCGAAGAGCAAAGAACCTACTGCTAAAAAACAGAAAGTAATTGAGAGAAAAAGGTGCTATATTTGCCCAAGTTCAAAGGACCAAAAATCTAAATTAATATGTACAAAATGTGAAAGAATGTCTGTGGAGATCATTCTGTTTTAACATGTACATGGTACATAAAACTTGGTAACTTTTTTTAAAAAATTCTATACATATATTGAATAAAATTAGAGCTCTAAATATTGTCTTAAATTATGTTGTTAGTAAATGCTTAATGGGGTGTTTAATGACCTGCATAAAATATAAATCCATAAATGGGCCTCGTAGGCCTGGCATGAGCACTTGCACACGTACAATTAGCGCGAGTAAAGCCGGGTTAATATAACTAAAAATTCATATGCCTGTTAACATTAAGATATGACTTAACACTTTGAGTCACAAAGCACTTTTGAATCTGCTCATGAAGATCTGTATTTATGCAGAACTTGTTCGCTAAATTTGTATAACTTACTTTAGTCTCTTTTTTTCAAAAAACATCATTCATTAAGATAATATTTATATTATTAAAGAAAGTAAAGAAGCAAAATATTTTAAATTATAAGCTAATGTATATTGAGTTACAAAAAATATTTCAATTGGATAAAGGAGGTGATGCCACTCGGGATTAAATAAACATTAAAATTGGACATAAACTCACAAGAGTCATAACATCATTAGCAAGATCACGGGCAAGGTCTGGAGTTACAAAACACGAAAAACCACTCATAGCCGTTCCAGCATCATACATATTTTGGCTATTCAGATCCTAAAACATAAATTCATATATGGATTATTTATAACAAATTTCTTAAATAATACATAACAACAAAAGTAAATTATCATAAATCTTTAAACTAGATGTTAAAGATTAAATTTCTATGCCTAAATTTGTTAAGTGAAACCCTTCAGATTTTATTTATCTTATAAAAAACACTGAATAAACATAAACAGGTAAACTTCTAAAAGACAGCACACTCTAAATAAAAAATAAAAACAATGCCTTTATATATATATATATATAACTTGTTTTCGCACTAAATGGATTTAAGATCATACAACATTATATAATATATATATATATATATAAAATCAAACAAACTGTTCCAAATAATATAAAATTGTTTCGCATTCAGCATTAAAATATATAACATTTCTACTGCTTTTATCAATCCTCTCTGCAAATTAAAATGCTAAAAAATAAGCCCAAAACAACAAACTGATAGCATTACATTTTCCTAATACTATGAAATTTTCCTTCCCTTTTCATGACTTGCATTTAAATTTGCATTAAAAAGGTAACATTTAATTTTCATCCCTGAACTCTCTTGCACTGATCAACCTCAAAATCTCTTTTTTCCCGGCTTTTGAAATACTCTTGCTTATGAATTTGTTTAAAAGAAATCATCCCAAAAAGGAAATTGCCAGAAAGTTAACAACCCTCTAATCTAATTGAAGCGGTTTCTGTAATATCAGGTCATTTGCATATATTGCCATTTTTCAATTTCATGAATAAACAGCGATGGTGGATGTCAACAGAAGTAATACTAGGATGCAGAATAAGAGCAAGAAAGACAGCACTGACACTAAACAAATAAGAGTGGAAGGTCACTTGGGTAAGAAAGGTTAAACACTGACAATAACAAATTCATTTAATTAGTCTGGAAAACCAATAAGCTAAATATTATTGTGATGGGAAAATGCATTAAGCCTGGATGGCCAGGTGACTACCTTATATACAGATGCATCATATATTTAGGTAATTTATGCTGCTGAAGAATTAATAATTGTCTTTCAAACTTGGTAGAGTTAATAAATATGCTTAAAATATTTCAACATTAATTTACGAACTGAACCAACAAAATCAGATTTCACAAGCATAAAAAAGTATATTCATAAAAGAAAAGGATCAACTACTTAAAAAGTATCACAAGAATAAACCTGCTAACACAGTGGTTCTCAAACTGTGTACCATGGCACCCTGGGGAGCCATAAGTTCTTCACAGGAGCAGCAGAAAATATTGTAAAAGCTTTCTAATTAATTGAACAAAGACATTTGTCCTAACTAAACAAAAAAACAAAGTGATAAGCTAAATTTTTTGGGGGGGGTTGTTTTTACTTGACCATCAATAAAAGTCAGTGGCGCAGAATATTCTTGCGAATGCAAGATGGCAGTGCTGCACCTTTCAATCCCGCCATATGATCGTGCTATACCTTATAACAGTCTCACCTGTGAACATGTACAAGGCTATAACAATCTTTACAATAAAAATCTTTTCATAGCTTGTTCTGAACAATCTTTTCACAGCTCATTCTGTAAAAAGAAACCTTTTTTTGTATTTTTGCTAAATTTTGCTTATTATGTCGTTTTGCTCGGGTACGCATGGACCGTCTTTCAGGGTTTGCCCCCTTGCCAGAATTTTCTTTCAGGTCAGATTTCATGCGATTTATGCTTGTCATGCAAACTCTAGTCAAAGCAGCAAAATAACAATTTCATTACTAGATTCATTAGGAAAACGATCCAGTAATTTGAAAAGAACTTTCATAACAGAAATCTTAATAGAACTGTGTAGTGGTTTTCCAGTCTTGTGAGGTTTTAAAATTGTACACATATGTCAAAGATGAAGCAGATGCTGTAGCAACTGCTTTCTTTCCTCCCAGTCAGCAAATGAATGAATGCTTTAATTGCTTCTCTGATTAAGAGTGGGGTTCAGAAATCTACAGTTTCACCAATAATGCCCCCCCCCAAAAAAAGGGATGTCTTCCATATTGGTCATCAACTGATTGACATGATATTAGCAGATTTTTTTAATTAAAAGCTAGATGCAATGCAATCTTTTGTTTAACATATTTTTTCATTCCATTCCCTTTTCTCAACAGTATTCATATTTCACAGAGAAAATTTTAATGACATCCGAAATTGTTAAAGCTATACAGCAGGTGCATACACTTTTTACTACATCCAATCTTCTCAACTCAGGTTGACCAGAAGTACAGACACACCAAGGTATGTAAATCCTTCACGACAGATATGGACTGATCTGGAAGATCTTGTAGAAAGCGTATAAGCAAGCGTTACGGGCTTGATTCAGTCAGTATAGTTGGCAAACTTCATGTTTTTTGGGGGCCAAGAAGTTAAAAGAACTGAATCAACAAAAAAGAAATGTATTTTTAAGACGGACTCAGTATCAAACAACACTTTGGTAACATCTTACAAGGTGGCTTACAGAATCCCAAAATATAAGAAGCCCAATACCATAGCAAAACTTATTTTAACAGCTGCTACAGATATGATAAACATCACAGTTGGCGAGTCTGCTCGGCAGCCACTTTTTGAAGTAACTTTGGTCAATAGCACAATTAGTTGGAGAATAAAATATATGGTAGAGAATATCAACAATCAATTAACAGAAAAAATTAAAGGAGTGGATTTTAGTTTGCAGCTAGAATGAGGCTGCGAATAATAAGAAGGGTGCTCATACGGTGACACATACGGTTTAAAGATGGTAATAATATCAAAAAAAGACCTTTTTGGTAAAAATATCACTGCAAGAGTTAAGGCTCATTGCATGCTTGAGACTTTTAATACACTCATATCTGAAATTAATTTGAATTGGCTTAAGTACATTGGTGTCTGTATGCATGGAGCTTGCTCCATGTCTGGCTGCTATGGAGGATTATAAGCATTTATGCGAGCAAAGGACCAAATGCACCGTGGGCCATTGCATTATTCCTACAGATGCACTTGCATCAAAGAATCTTAGTGCTGTAATGAATCATGTGTTAGCATGTGTGGTGAATGTAGTAAATTTTATAAAATCTTGCCAACTGAAAGCAAGGTTTTTTAAAAATATCTGTGAGGATATGGAAGCCAAACACTTGTCTTTGTTGTACTATAGTAGTGCACGATGGCTCTCTCGTGATATTATTTTATCATAAATCCTTAAATTGCGAAAATAAACTTTTATTTTCATTAAAAGAGGATACAAAAATGCAGAAGATTTTGCTGATGCTTATTTTTTAATACATCTAGCATATTTATGCGACATTTTTGAAAAGCTGAATTCCCTTAATCTCTCTCTGCAGGGAGAAAAACACATCACCTTTTGCAGTCAAAGGGGAAAATATCAGCTTCTACTTATAAAAAAGTTAAACTGAGGAGAAGAAAATTGAATGAAGATGCAGGCAGAGATTGTTTTTAAAACTGCAGCAATTTTTGATGTCAAACAAACTTGGTCTTTCTCAAGATATGAAAACCATGTTTGAAGGGCACTTATCGCAGCTAATTAATTATCTGACTTGAGAAGCATTTTCAAAAATAATTTTGTTTGTGATATGAGTAAAAAATATTTTATTTACATAGATTCAAGATCAATTTAAAACTAGTGCTCTGTCTGAAATTACTTCTGTGGAAGGAAAGAATCTTATCGAGTTACGTTGCGACAACTTGAAAACCAAATTTGGCGGTACAGAATTTTGGATTTCACGGAAATATGATTGATCCATCCTGAGTAATAAGGTTCAGCGGATTTTAATTCCATTTTCGATGTCATATTTGCATGAAGCTGGATTTTCGCCAATCAGTGTAATGAAAAGTAAGTACAGATCAAAAACCAACGCAGAAAAGAAAATGATGGTGGCTGTGTCCAGTTTAATTACATGATTTGAGAAAATATCCAGCAATTTGCAATCTCATCATCACATTATTAATTTAATATTAATAAAATTTATAAATATTAAATAATGAAGATAAGCGAGTTTTATTTATCTTTATCTCTTAATTACGCTTAATCATACTTTTACTTTGGGTAGGGCACCACAGAAAAATTTTAACTGACAAAAGGTATTGCGACTCTGAAACGTTTGGGAACCACCATGCTAATAGATAGTAATTGTAAGAAGCTTTTATACATACAAAAAATATTTTGTAAACTAACCATATTTGAGAAATTGCGTTTTACCTAACGCTGCATCTCAATGGTTGTAAAAACCTAAAACATAATTCTTAGTTTCAAAAACACAATTTGAGGTCTATGAATGAGTCAAAATTTACTTCGCAGTACAGCTTCATAATGGATTACACAGTTCTTAATTTTCTGCGGATTTTAGAATTGTCTATAATTTTGTTTCTTATAGACCAGTGCATTTATCACCCTTGCAGGCCTCCAAGTTTTGCCATTTAATATGACATAAATTGCTTTTGAATTTTAGACTACATTATAAGTAATATATGTGTTTGTTGATAATTTATATGTTATTTTTAATTACATCCATTTTTAATTAGGTGTATAATACACCTAATTAAAAATGATAATTTTGATAAATACCAACAGAAAATCTTCATTTAAAGCCAATAATAAGGTTTTCAAAATATCAGATTTCATTTCAAACTTTAATAATACTTCTTCAAATTAAATTGCACTACTCCATCTTTAAAATGCTACCCACGCACTGAAAAGTTTTAAGTAAAAATATGATAATTATTCTGAACAAAAACATGGGGAAATGTAAAATTATGATATATGTAAAAATAACAGAGTAACAAATCAAAAGTCTAACTACAATATAAAAATTATTATGAATACAGCTTATAATGTTGGTATGTTTTGCAACCATCCAAATAGCATCAAACTCTTGGCAGACGTTAAGCAAATTATCACCATGTATAAAATAACAACTGAAACTTGAAAAGAGTGTAAAGGAGGCTTTTATTTAAATCTAAGAGGAACAAAATTCACAGCTGGTGCTTATAACCTCAGCCAAAACTTA